TTACCAGGTGGTACGGGCGAATGCTGCCCTGACGAGGAGATGTCGACAGATTGGTGCGACCGATTCGACTTGGTCCATGGAAAGTTAGGCATCGCAGTGTTGACAGCTTCGAGCTCCGCCTCAGAGCAGGTTGTCGATGGCGGGGCGGAGACGACGCGCTCAGCTAATAATAAAACGAGACTGAGCAACCATAGACTATACCCGGGTAAGACTGCATCGCGCGGTTGGACAGCTTTCCTCAAGTACAATGCATCGAGCTACATAGATGCACGGCGTAGGTGATCAGCCCAAGCCGCCGCACGTGCAGGCATGCGGAACTAATGGAATGACATGGAGAAGGCAAGACCAGTCCCGGTGCAGCTAACACCGGACCAAGTTGCTCATATCGCGAGCCGTGGCAGTGCTGCTATTGCCAATTCCTGCCAGCCTGCCTCTAACGCCTTTCTGCTGTTCAAGGCTTCCAAGGCGCAATCGACGTTTCGTCTTCCCCGTTCTGTGCCTGCACTCCCGCATCCCAGTGACACAGAAGACGACAGCAAACGTCGCTGGATCCAGATACATACACTGTGCCCATAGCCCGGCGGATGGAACCTGCAAACAAGAACGCCAAGTGGGGACAGCAGCTGTTAGTCTAGGCGGCGTTGCAAGCCCTCCTCTGCTCAACGTGCCTGAAGCTGCAGCCGCCCCTGCGTATCGCCTGGGGTATGCAAACTATGCATATCGCGTCTCATTATTGTACACTGAATGTTTTGCTTTTCTTGTGCGATCGTGAGATTTGCGACGTGTCCGAAGAGCTCAATGCCTAGAGTGGCAGATTGCATCATCACCATTACGGACTATCTCAAAGCGAGCGGATCTGCACTCGAGCCAGATGTGCATCATCTCGCTCATGCTCCCTCAGCTCCGAAAAATGTCATGGGGCTATTTTTGGCGTCTGACATGTGCTAGCCGCGTTCGACTAGCTTGCCTATCGTTTCGGTTCTGATGCCTGTGTAAGGTTTCCTAAGCTTCCACGTTACACCACTTTCACACAAATCTCAACACAAGGCTGAGGTCTCGAAAAGCTGACCATCAGCCACTTCATGCACGCAATATAGCCAAACTCAACTGTCGGTCTCTCCGACACCTCACCGGCATTGACCGGACAACAAACGACGCGAACCCATGCCGGTGAGGCGGTTATGCACGCCTCCTTGGAGGTGCGTGGGGACTACTGTATGCGCAAGTGCGGCACTGCCAGGAACGATCTCTGTATGAGACATTGTTACGCGCTTCTCTTCTCGATCGTACTTCTAGTATTGATGCAATGCCGAATCGTCTCGCAAGAGGGTATACTAGGAGCTTACTCAGACCATAGGTAAAGCGAACTCCGATATTCGCACGCGCGCGAGTTGGTTATTACCGCAATATTTCTCAACAAGAGCAGATTCTCATGTCGGTACCGTATGGATTGCGGGACTTGTAGGCAGCTCGTCGTCACGGATCGTCGCGCTACCACTGAATGACAACCAAAATGTAGCCTTGTGATCTCGCACAAAGCGTCTATAGGCAAACTTTGACTACGATTAAGTGAACTTTCAATCACTACGCAATGAGATTGCGCAATTCTCAATTCCATTGCCCGAACCTTCTCCACTGAAACTTTACGCGCGTTGTCCTGACTACGACCACTTCAATGCAAGCTACAGATTTCTCCAACCTTCTCTCTCGACCATGGCCGATCAACAGGTGTTCCGGTTTCTCGACCTACCGACAGAACTGCGCTTGATGGTCTACAAATTCCTTCCGGTCAAGACGGTACACCACGTGGTTCGAACAAATGATTTTGCTTTCTGGTTCAACAACTCTCACTATCACTCTACTCAATTACCTGGGCATTTCCTCGAAGACGGAGCACATTTCCAAACTCCATCTTCGAAATGGCCTGTATACTCCATGAAGATAGTTTGCAAGAAGATCCCCGGCCTAGCTATCCTGGGTACTAGTCAAAAGATTCAGCTAGAAGCTGGTGAAGTTCTAAACCCAAAGTTACGAGCTATCAGCAGGTTACCCGCGCAGATCATCGTAAACAGCATCTCCCTCGGCAGTCTCGCCATGGATGATCTGGTGACTCGACTGTCATACGCAAACACAACCTATTGGACAAACAAAAGCCGTCTCCTAGACTGGCGCGTAACAGCACCTGAGTTGCGCCCAGGAAACGAACCCAGGTCTCGACCCGTTCACGTAGCCATACGCAATTCATTCATCGACAGAGACACAGCCGACGCATCGACAGACAACTTCAGAATGCAGTGCCTGCGGAATTGCTTCTATTGGTCACTTAGACATGAATCAGCTATACATTCCGCGAGCTGCCCTACAGATGGCTCTTTCCCGCACATTGACCAGCATTTACATCTCCGTATGGCTGGATTGACTTCGCAGGAGGAAAAGGCTTACGACACATTTCGACCTCTGGACCGTGAAAGTTTTGGAAGATGCTGTCGTTGCAGGTCTACCTCGCTTATCGACAGCGGTGAGATCATTGGTGAAGTGGAATGGGAGGACAAATGGGCGGAACATGAGAGCTACCAGTAAGGCCTATGATAGTTGTAGGATGAAGAAGAGAAGTCGTCTCAAGCCTGGGGAAGTTGGCCGGATACGGCTACCTAAGTTTGGTGACTGGCTATTGACATCGATCAATGGACGCTCAGACCGGAACGTAAGACGAATTCGAGAACGATTACTGTAGAAGTATCAATTGCATCAAACAATACACTAACCTCAAAGCAATCTTACCTTCACTTCTACTTCAGGTCTGTGCGCCCACTCATTGTACTGCGCCTAAATGCCACTCGTTTTCCATTGGTACCTCTCACCACACCGCATCAATACACTACCCAGGTTGACCCAAGCGCCGTAACCTCCAGCAACCTAACGAGGTCTTTATACGCCGAAGTCATGAAGGTATCAACTACCGACCTACCTCCGCCTCAGACTGCCACGATGGAGTCATCAGAACAACCACGCCGCCCACTGTCCACGCTACTCTACCCAAGAACTGCAGAAGCGCCATCAGCATACGGAACATCACCCCAACTTCCGACAATCCCACAAGAACCTGAACCACCACCATCTCCACCTTCTCCGCCGTCAAAACCGCATCAAGACCATCCAACACCACCCTCACCACCAACCTCCCCACCCCTCATCGTCATCCACCCCGTTCCAGAACCCACCTCACCCGCCTCACCAACCTCGCCCTTCCCAGACAGTCTCCCACCGCGCCCCCAACCCGCACAAAACGGAACCCTCATCTCCCGCCTCTTCAAGCGCGCACCCGCCCACCCCGACGACATAGAGCTCGGTCCACTTCCACACGAACACACACCAGAGACTCCTGTTACGGACGCGGACAAGGAACGGGAGTACAGGAGGAAGAAGGTGTTGTTCATTTATATGGTTTGGGGAGTGCTTCTCGTGTTTGCGATATGCGGGATGGTGGTTGGAGCGCAGATGTATAGGGGGAAGGTTAGTGATGAGGGTGGTGGTGAGAAGGTTAATAACTTTGAGGTTGTTGATGCGGATGGAAAGGTCGTGGGAGGGGGAGGGGGAGGATGATGGGTGGTGGTTGGTTGATTGAAGTAGACTCACGGGCTGGATAGATCAATGTCCGGACAATTGTCACTGGAAAAGGAAGCAATATAGCTAACATCAGTATCGGAACAAAGTAGGTTGAGATAGACGGTAGAACGATGAAGAGTAGCAAGAGCTTCACAAAGACATGGTGCGAGAAGGTTATGCTAGATATGCTTCGTCGTATGAATCTACCTATAAGGAATTAAGAAAAAATGTACTCAATGTCAATTAATGACTCGCGCGGACTTTCACGGCAGCAGTCCAAGTTCAACTGTCTTCAGACCTAGTTCTGGTTCTGTGTCACCTTCACCATCTCGCTTACTCAATCTGTCTTTGCTAGCTCGACTCCGACTGACCGACAGCAGACCACTCCGCTCGCTGTTGTCTGCGCAGGAGACGACGATCCTCAACATAACCAATTTGTGTACTGCTACATGTATGCCGTATAGAAACATCACTACCTTGCTTTGTGCTGACATTCTAGCAGAACCACCGCTTTCCACCGCCATGGCTCCCAACCACACCAAAACAGACCAGCCCGTCTACCTCCGCATCTTAGGCTTTGATCTCCATTGTGACGCCGTCACGAGCAACGACTACAACACTTCCCAAGTCGGCCACGTAGCTACCCACGATGCCTATCGCACTCGATACGCTCCAGAACCCTACCACTCTGTCCCCGCAGTAGAACTCTACCGCGATCAGCGCAACGCTGGGCTACTCTACATCTTGATCGCAGCTGGCGCGGCAGCAGCTCTCGTAATTGGAGTTGCAATGCTCTTATTCGGATTTATGCTGTTCATGTTCGCTGTTTGTTGGATTGTGGCATTCATGGTCGTTGTCGGATTGATGTGCTCGGTTATGTAAGGTAGATATGGAATGGGTGATAAGTGAGCCAGCAGTGTGAATGACGGGAAGGAAGACAGGATGAATGGCAGAGCTTGCTCATATCGATAGATGAGAGATGTAGAGCAGTTTCCAGTTAGCACGCAACTAGGATGTAGTTCCAAGCTTGAGAATTGATGAGAAGAAGATCGGGTATGCTAGGTGGTATTATTCGCTGTATATGCATGAAATCGAAACGTGTACTCAGTCTCATCCGACAGTCCAGGTGATCTCGCAGTCCAGGCAGTCGCGTTCGGGTGCGGTTAGACCAAGTCCAGGCGCTCTTTCCTCTTCACGTTGCCGCCTGGTCACTATTTCCTCGTTCCGCTAGCTCTCTTCTACGACCACTCAGATACTCCTTCCGCCCACTGCTGACTGAGCAACTACCAGGTATCTACACTGCCCTTTCCCACGCTGCCATGAGTCTGTCGCCCACTTAGACCACTGAAACGCTCTTTCCTAACTTCCCAGTAGAACGACCACTCTCAGCCGCCATGAACGCCTCCAATAGCGAAATTGATTATTCCACGGACGATACCCCCTCGAGCACGGGGTCCGACGACAGTTGGGTTGACTTCGGCTGCGGCGATCTAGACGACGACGACGACGACGACGACGACAACAACGACGACGACGACGACAACAACAACGACAACGACAACAACGACAACGACAACGGCGACAACGACGAGAACAACGACAACGGCGACGATGACTCCGATCACGTACACACTCACACCACCTACATCAAGATCAAATCCAAAAGTGGCGTATCCAGCCGGGTGAAGCCGCCCACCGTCTCTGTCAAACATCGTTCGTCTCGCTCAAGAGCAAAGCACCGCGATTCTACCACTGACCACCGCGACTTCATTGTCTGCTTCATGATGATGTTGGTCATTCTGTCACTGTTGTTACCTGAGCGAACCTTCGTTTTCTGCGAACTGGTGGGCTTCTTACTGGCCGAGGTTGCATCAGCTTTGTTCGAGGCAAAATCTCTCCGGTTTGTATTAGCTGTAGTGCTGTTCACTGTGGCGAGCCTCAAGAAGCAGAACCCGTGAAAAGGAACAGGACGCGAAGAACAAAGGTATGGAAGGAAAGGAGATTAAATGAGGCGCACTTGTTCTTGTTGTAAGGGGACACAGATCGCTTTAACGTGCAGGTATCACGGAGACGAAATCGAAGTTACTAGATGGTATCATTTGCTGTATATGCATGAGTAGAGTGAGTCGACTATTACTGGGTCTCGTCCACATATCCCAGAGCCTCTCCAACCTTGACCTTCATTCCTTGTTCAATGTTCCACTTGAACCCACCCTTCCTCTCCATACCAGTGAAGCCCTCGTCGAGACTGGGTCTTATGCCCTTTGGCGCCTCGAAGACCAAGACGATGGTACTTCCTAGCTGGAATCCGCCCATCTCTTCGCCGCGCTTGAGAGAATAACCACCTAGCACACGACTAGCGGAAGTGTAGGAGGCCTCGGCAAAACCGGAGTATGGTTCTCCCCTCGCTGCAGCTTCTTCGGCGGCGCGGTCAGCGGCAGTGTCGGTGGTGAGACTGTTGGTGCGGAGTTCGCGATCGAAGTTGATCTTGATAGATCCGACGTTGGTCGCGCCGACGGGTGTGTAGGAGAAGAAACCCCAGCGCCAGCGACCGAGCAGGACAACGCGCTCGTTCAAGGTGAAAAGACCGGGCATGGTGCGTTGTAGATATGGAGATACACTGTATAGTTCACCGGCGAAGTGACGTCGCGATTCGACGACCCATGATACTGGAGAGTGGAAACGGTGGTAGTCGCCTGGTGCGAGGTATACGACGCAGTAGTAGAGTGCGGTAGGTGTCTTGTTGGATGCCGGTGCCCACCAAGGTCGCTCAGCTTCACTCAAGGCCATTTCAGCGCGTACTTCGGCTTCCGAAGAAGCAGCCGGTGCGGTAGACTGATCCGTGGGCATTTCAGATGGCTTCCCGCCTTTTGGCCAGGGTCCTGAGAACAGGTTGGGCAAGGTATACGAGATGCCGTTCACGTTTGCGAATTCCTCGTCTGCGCGGACAGTATCCTCTTCGTCCTTTGCGGTCTTCTCATGTTCGCTTGTGACGACCTGAGAGTTTGCGACGTTTTGGGCGGGTGTGCTGGGCTTGGTGGAGCCTAGAAGCGCATCTAAGCTGTACGTTACACCTTTGACTTGTTCGACTTCGCCGTGCTCGATGGTGCCGAATTGGATGACTTTGCCGTCTGCGGGAGAGAGAACGGCGTTGGGATTCGGGTCGAGAGGGCGGACTCCGGGTTTTAGGGTGCGGTAGAAGAAAGCAGCGAGATTGGGGTAGACGTGGAGATCGGGCTCGGAGACTTCAGAGAGGCTGTGGCTTGTTAGCATTGGATATAACTACTAGGCTGATGGTTTCTGACTTGACACCGAAGATCCAAGAGTACAGCTTGAAGCCGGGTACGCGAAGGTAGTATGGAATGTCGATTTCGTTGAAGCGTCCCCAAACTCGCGAGAGGGCCTTGAGAGGTAGCGTGGACATGACCTGAACAGTCCATGGCCCGCTCGGCCGTATCCTCTCGCGCTTCTTCGGTCGGCCCTGGTTGTCCACTGCACCTTCCTCGCCATTCTGTCTCTCAGCCTCGGTATGCTTCTCCCTCCGTTGTATGCGATAGAGCTGGAATGCGCCGAGGAAGCCGACGCCGAGTGCAATTGGTATTGGCTCCCATTTTATCTTGGTGTTCTTGAGTGCCGAGTTCAGCCGTGACCTGAAGGACTCTTTCCTGTGGAAGTTCTGCTCATATGTTGCGCGCGTGGAGGAGAAGGTGCGAGACGGGACGGAGAGGCGCGCCTGTCGGTGTGTGGGCGTTTGGAAGCGCGGGCGGAGAGGGCCTCGCATGAGCTGGCGCGAACAGGAAGACGCCATGGCTATGTTGTATGCATTGGTCTCAAAGTTGCAGTGCGGAAAACGGCCAATTCCCCAGCGACGAGATGACGGCTATGGCGTCGCGTGGTGGGAAAATCAACTTCCTCGGTTGACCAATGACGTATCCATCGGCGACGGGGCTCTAGCGCGCAACGGCGTCTACCGCTGGACGTGGACAGTTCAATGCATCGCGTGCACAGGTCAAGCTTCTCGAAACATCCAAAGGCGAGGCGGCACTGACGCTCAGATTATCCGCCTGGACTTCATAGCAGATGGCAGGCGCGACCGTAGTCCTAAGCTGATACCAGGCTCTAATTCGGACACGTCGTCACTTCCCGACTTCCACCTGCACTCTTCACCTCGCACCATAGTCACTCACTACACACAGCGGCCATGGCGGAAGAAGCGCAGACAGTCAACCTCAAGATCCTTTCACCCTCGTCTGACTTTGAGGGTGGTGTGAACCTCGCAGACGTCCCCGCTTCCACCACGGTCAAAGAGCTCCGGAGCCGCATACAGGATGCCGCGCCCTCGAGGCCTGCCCCAGAGCGCATGCGCCTCATCTATCGCGGCAGAGTAGTGGCCAATGATGCCGACACACTGAGTAACGTGTTTGGCGTGGACAATGTAGGGTCGCCAACCACGTGCGGTAGACCCACGCTGATGGTGAATACAGCTACGTGAGAACAAGGACCAGAGCCTCCACTTGGTTCTGCGGGAGCTCCCGACTACTGGGAACCCTCCAACGTCACCTACGCCACGATCCGCGACTGTCCCGAACCCTTTCCGCCCTGCGCAAGCCCCGGCTGTACCCGCAAATCCTCTGCAGACGAACCCATTCCGCGCGCTGCCACAGGCTCGACCGCACTCGCTCCCACCACTACCACCGCACCACCATCATATCCCGGGCCAAGCAAACGCGGTTCCCATTCCTCTCCCTCTTCCCCCACAACTGCAACAACAGTTCACCCAGGCCATGGCGCAACAGGGACAGCAGAACAACGAGCAGACCCCAGACTCGACATCTCAGCAGCCAGGACCAGACGCACCGAGACCCGCGGACGCCGCTCAAGGACTGCCCAACCTCCCCGGAAATGGCGACCAACCACTACGACGCGAAGGCGTGGGTCCCAACGGGGCGCGATGGACAGTCACATACAACCAGGTCAATATACCTGCGCAGATTCGACAGCCCGTTCCTGCATTCGGTCTTGCTCCACCGCTAGCGTTTGGTCGTCCACCGGTCCCGCCGGGCGTTATTCCCTCAATGGGCCACGACAGTACCCAGCGCTTGTTGCCACGCATCCAGACAATCTTCCAGGAAGCACAACGCGAGATGGAGAACGTGCGAACCTTGCTGCAGCCTGCGCGTCCATCGGAGACACAGACTGATCGACTTTCGCTTTCAAACACCTCTCCCCTGAACCTACCAGTTTGGCGAATCGATCACATCCGCCAACACCTCAACACCATCAACCAGAACTTGAACGTTGTCGAGCGGGCCCTCGCCCTTCTCCCTACAGAACCCGAGGTGGTAGCGTTGAGACGCTCAGTAACCGAGATTAGAGTGGACGCACTAGAATTGAACATCATACTCGATCGTCAACAAGGCGGAAGCCCCAGTCGATCAAGCATGTCCACAGCCATCAACACTCCGGTTCTCGGACCTTCCTCTAGCACAATACCAGGCGCTCCGATAATGACTCCAGCTGTGCCTACTACATCTCAACCACGGACACAGAACACTACTCAGACAATGCCTGCAGATGCGCCAACGGAGTTGTTTCTCTTATCAAGCCCTCAGGGCCCGGTTGGCGTTCTATTCGATCAGCAAGGCACATACACCACTGCCCCCATGGTCTCGACACTTCCATTTCAGAGTTTTACGAACCAGTTTGCTCAGAACAGACAGCTCCTCAATGGCCTTGGACAGCAGATAGCACGGGGGAATCCGCCCCCTAACCTTGAGCTGCACAGGCAGCTAGCCAACATGAGCCAGACCCAACGTCGAGACTGGATCCAGAATCAAAACCAAAACCAAAACCAAAACCAGAATCAGAATCAGAATCAGAATCAGAATCAAGATCAGAATCAGAACCAAAATCAGAATCAAAACGCGAACGTAAACGTAAACCAACCAGAAGAAAACGATCGTATGGTCAACGTCGCTGGGCATATGTGGCTGATCTTCAAGCTGGCAGCATTCGTTTACTTCTTCTCCGGAGGTGGTGGCCTCTATAGACCTATCATGCTTGGTATCGTCGCAGGTGTGGTTTATCTAGCACAAGCCGGCATGTTTCAAGAGCAGTTCAACGTTGTTCGTCGTCACTTCGAGGCTCTTCTCCCTGTCGGAGCCTTGGCCGAACGCGTGGCTCAGCCTAACAACCAGCGCCAAACGCAACATCGAGGTAACCTATCACCCGAGGAAGCTGCGAGGAGAATACTGCAGCAGAGGAGAGATCAGAGATTTGGATGGTTCAGGGACAGCATGCGTACAGTCGAACGCGCTTTTGCGCTGTTTGTTGCCAGCTTGTTTCCTGGTGTTGGAGAGCGGATGGTCCACGCGCAAGAGGAGAGGGAGAGACTCGAAAGGGTGGCAGCTCGAGAAGAGAGGGAACGCCAGGAGGAAGAGGCGAGAAGAAGGGAAGAAGAGGCCCAAGCACAGCGCGAGCAGAGAGATGAAAAGAAGACCGAGGCCGATCTCGAGCCACAAGATGAGTCGAATGCAAGTGTAGGCACCAAGGGCAAGGAGAGGGCAGCGACAGAGGAAGAGGCTACTGCTCCGGGTCCTTCTTCATGATTTCATAAAGCGACATCATTATACGGAAGTAGCAATGCTCAGACAGATACCCTTGCATGAAGTCAATACATATTTCATTCACATTGCACCCTGGAATATGTCTCATCCGGTGCTACCTACCATTTCGGTGCCACATCAGTCTTGTATACGCTCGCCAGCAGCGAGCCATAGTACGTGTAGAGTCTGCCATACCTTCGGTCCGATCACATCTTATTTCTATTTTAAATCATGTTCCGGTATTGACAATCTCTGTCGGCGGCGGTGCAGAATATTGCGAATGGCTGACCCGGGGCGCGCCTGCCATATTCAAGACAAGGGTCCATACTAGCGCACAACCAGCTAGCTCACCTCCACACGTGGATTGATGCACCGAGCAGCTCTCCGGCACCTCCATCTTCTTTCCTTTTGCCTAACATCGCATCACAGAATCGGGTCTTAGAAACATTCTTTTCGGAGTCCAGCGAACAGGCCGTGCTTGCTCTACATATCCGACGCTGGAGACCACATACGGTTAGCCACACTATGCCGGCGGCTTCCAGTCCAGGCAGAGGAACAGCTGTATATCATCGCGCAGCATAGAGAAGCGTCAAAGAATGAATGCCAAACAAGCGGCATGTCTGAATTGCCGCAAAAGCAAAATCAAGTGTCGGCGCGAAGAAGGCGCGCCAATATGCGAGCGTTGCCAGAACGTCGGGATTGAATGCATAATTCCTGAATTTCACATTGGTCGCCAAAAGGGCGTGAAGAAGTAAGCGATTAGACATGAGTATATGGGTGAGACTAACTATCTTATAGCAAACGATCAGGCCTAGAGAAGGCGATATACCAGGTTGAAGAAGCCATCAAAAAGAGGAAATCGGACGCAGCTACGAGTCAGAGTACGCTGCAGCAACTACAGCAGCTTTTGAACGAGGCGCAAGGGGACGAAGACTCCAATCAAAACCCAAACACATCGCCTGCCTCAGAGTTGCATCCTCACATATCAGCCAGTAATCTTGTTGGTACTTCAAGCGACGATCAACTCGCTGTTGAAGATGTCGAGAACCCACTCCAGCTACTCGCCCGGGCCTCCGATCTGCGGATTGCAACACCACAGTCATACAACCAGAGTACCGCCAGCCCTGAAGACAGATTCAATGGTAGCCAGCAGAGCGCTTTTCTCGACGTTCACCACTTTTTTCTGCCGATGAAAGCACATCTTGATCAGGGCTCAGGCCTGGATCCCATTGATGTTGGGCTCGTAACCAAAGACGAAGCTGAGATGCTTCTACAGTAGTAAGTCATATCAAACCTCGGATCTGGACTCAAGAACGTAGCTAACGGAACTTAGCTTCCACAAAAAGCTAGCACACACACGCTGGGGGCTCGACCCTTTGGTACATACATTGCCATTCGTTCGAAACCGCTCTGCCTTTTTGTTCACTACCCTGTTAGCCATGACCGCCATATTTCTACCGGAAACTTCTGCGCTGGCTAAGAGACTACTACTGCACCGCAGATTTCTAGCCGAGCAAGTCATTACCCGAAAGTACAGATCTGTTGAAATCGTGCTAGCTTTCATGGTCAGTATTCCTTGGATGCCTCCAGGGTCCCATGCAAGCGACGACGACACGAGCCTCTATCTAGCTACAGCGCTTTCGATCGCGTTAGATCTTATGCTAGACAAAGTGATAACGCCATCGACATCGTTCGATCAGGAGCTTGTCAGACAGATACCGAAGTCAGAATGTCTTCACGCAAGAAAAGCACTGGCGATGGACGGCTTCGAAGACGTCGACGCAAATTCGGAATGGGGCCAGCGACTTCTTCGCCGCAGAGAAAGGGTCTGGATTTCTTTGTTTGTCTTGGAGCGAGGAGTCTGCCTAGCCCGCGGGCGTAGCTACTGTGTCCCCAAGACATGCCTGATCCAGTACTGCGACAAGTGGCACGACCATCGATGGGGCGATGCTCAGGATGGCCCGCTTGTATCCATGGCAGTCCTCCGCCGCGATCTTGACGACCTTTTTGCTGAGGTACGTACGCGCTGTGATAACTATCGTCTTGCCGAAATAGGGACAAAGGTCGCCCAAGAAATCGACGGGTCTATCGAGAGCTTCTTCGACAGCTGGTCTCGCGCCTGGCCCTCTGTAATCGCTGATCCGGAGAGCAAAACACTACCTCCATATGTCGAAATCCTTGTTACACACACGCGGCTTTCAACCTACTCAATGCTCCTCAACCATCCTAGCGCACCTCCAGAAGTCAAACGTTCTTTCCGAAAGTCTGCACTATCCTCGGCACTCAACGTTATGCGTGCGGCGATCCAAGGCGAGTCACGTCTCAAATCGATGCCGAACAACACCGTTACGATGATTTGCTTCGCTGCAAGTATAGCGCTCGCTTTGAGTGCACCCGTGCCGGAGGCCGGCGGAAAGCAGAAGAGCCTTGCTCCAAGCGTCCGACATCTTATTGAAGATACCGCAACAGTTCTTGAGCGTATAGGCAGCACACCCATCCACCGGAACGGGGCTTCGGTCGTCTACGGCCGCTTCTTACGCGTTCTCGTCAAGCAGGCGCCGGAGATTGAGAGGCTACCACAATTGCCAGCCCACGATCCTGCACCACCGTCGATGGCCATACCAGATCTTCTATCGCCGTCATACAAGGTGAATGATGCGATGCCTGAAAACCATACGATGGGGCCAGATCCTATATCCAGCTACTGGCCGGATACACTAGACTTCTCAGCCATGTCGTACAACGAAGTCAACGAGACTGTGACGAACTCGGATCTGTTCTCCACGGCGCTACTGGATCTTCCGTGGAACGATAGCAACCCGTTATGGACGGATTGGATGAATCTGCCGGACTTCAACTTCCCGTAAAGTAGTGCGCGATCCAGTTTAACGACCTCTCGTGATGTTCGCGGGCTTCTCAGGAACTCTAAAGGGATCCGAGACACGTAAAGTCATCTTCCCGCTGCCCAGAACCTCGCGTCGGCGCGTGACAGAGCGGATGGAGACGGGACGCGTCGCCAAGCGCGAAGGAACTGAGAGAGGGGCGCGACCTCGGAACGCGCCAGAAGCTAAACCTCATGTGATTCTGCGGCAGATGAAGCCCCGCACCAAGCTCGAAAGTCGCTCCATCTTCGGTAGTTGAAATGACGCCGACGGATGTCAAATGTATGACGTTAGAGCTATTGCGCGGTCCACGCACGCGTCCGATGGCGTTCTTTCGGACAACTGTCGCAAAAGCTCTGCCTGTACTTCCAGAGTCGGTGCTTCTTGAGTCTCCTTACCCGATGATTTAACTTCACTGTTCTGCTCTTTGTTCACGCGCGTCACAATGGATTCATTACCTTCGTCATACCGGCTGCTCGCAGCTCTGCCAGCGCGGTTATGTTCACAACGCCCTCTCCCCGCACAACTACGAGCCGCGCGACTCCAACCACGATGGCGATTCACGGGTCAACTGCGAAGCATCAGTCAAAGCGCTCCCATGATCGACCGCTCCAAATCGAAGCTTTTCAAAGATGCAGATGAAGCGGTCGCAGACGTACAACCGGGATCCACAGTCCTGAGCGCGGGCTTTGGGTTATGCGGTGTTGCAGACACGCTCATCGGAGCGATGAAGAAGCGCGGCCCGCAATCGCTACACTCCCTGACAGCCGTCTCTAACAATGCTGGCATTGAAGATGTAGGAGGCTTAGCGCTACTCACAAAAAGCGGACAAGTCAAGAAGCTCATCATAAGCTTTCTGGGAAACAACAAGGCATTGGAGAAGCAATATTTGGGCGGCGATATCGAGATCGAGCTATGTCCACAGGGTACGCTTGCGGAGAGGATAAGAGCTGGCGGTGCGGGCATCCCAGCATTCTACACGCCCACCGCTGTCAACACGCTGCTACAAGATGGAGAGATCCCCGCAAAGTTTGATAAAGATGGAAAGGCCGTTGGCTTTGGTCAGAAGAGGGAGGTCAGAGAGTTCAATGGCAAGAAGTTCCTCATGGAGACTGCATTGACCGGCGATGTTGCGATAATCCGAGCGCACAAGGCCGACGAGGCTGGCAACTGTGTCTTCAGGTAAGAGACAATTCTCTCTGGTGCTTCGAACATCGTTTCTGACAGCGACTGTAGATACACCACCAAAGCCTTCGGTCCCATCATGGCCAAAGCGGCCCGCCTCACCATTGTCGAAGCCGAAGAGATTGTCCCGATCGGTACCTTTGACGCCAACGATATCGACCTCCCCGGCATCTTCGTCGACCGCATCGTTCCTTCCACGGCTCCCAAGAACGTCGAGATCAAGAAGCTCCGGAAACCCGCTGCGTCCTCAGATTCATCATCCAAGAACGAGGCGGCAGAGCGTCGCGACCGAATCGCTCGTCGAGCAGCGAAGGAGCTGAAGCAAGGATACTACGTCAATTTGGGTGTTGGCATCCCAACGGCAGCAGCGTCTTTCGTACCTGACGGTGTGAAGGTGTGGCTACAATCCGAGAATGGTATCTTGGGCATGGGCCCCTACCCGACTGAAGAGGAGCTCGACCCAGATATCATCAACGCCGGTAAGGAGACAGTCACACTCCTGCCTGGCGCCTCAACATTCGACTCTGCAGAGTCCTTCGGCATGATCCGTGGAGGCCACGTCGATGTCTCAATCCTAGGTGCTCTCCAAGTCAGCGCATCTGGCGACCTAGCAAACTACATGGTACCCGGAAAGGTATTCAAGGGCATGGGCGGCGCCATGGACCTCGTCAGCAACCCAGAAGCTACCAAGGTAGTGGTCGCTACTGAGCACGTCGCAAAGGACGGATCAAGCAAGATCGTCCAGGAATGCAAGCTGCCGTTGACGGGAGCCAAGTGCGTGAGCACTATCATTACAGACATGTGTGTATTTGAGGTCAACCGGAAGCGTGGTACTTTGACGCTTACCGAGACCGCGCCTGGTGTGAGCGTCGAGGATGTCAAGGCAAAGACAGATGCTAGCTTTGAGGTTGCGCCTGATCTTAAGACCATGGAGTA